TGTGGGAGCGCGTGTGCCGACAGCCCACGCTGAAAAGCTGTAGGCAGGGTGCCTGTTTCTTCCAGACCAGAACTGATTTTCTGACTTCTCTGGGAGCGCCCCACTGTCTCCAGCTTGTTGGAAGTGTCGACGTTAGTTGAGTTTTCTGGTCATTGCAGAGCTCTCAGGTGCGAGCTAGCCAGGTCTGGCTGCAAAAATATCTCGGGGTAATAGTGACTGTTTGTCCTTCTCCTGAGCACTGTTGGCTGGGCTGTCTGTCATTGTGGTGAGATGTGAGAAGTGGCAGATGATGTCTTAAAATACAGAGTAAAAATGTTCAATATCCTTCTGCCTCTTCTGGACTGTTGCCAGTTCCACCTCTTCCATCTGAAAACTAGCAAATGTCTGTAGGGTTCCTTTGTTCCTTATGTTCTCCAGAAAATACCAGGGGTATAGGCGGGCTGCACTGCTTTAGACACAGGTCACAGAAGAGAAAACAGATTTCAGCTGCGTCTTGTTAACCACAGTCCTTCAGTGTCAGTCTGCCTCTCGGTTATTGTTCAGCCAGGGAGCCAGAAGCTTGTTCTTGATGGTTCTCCAGTAAAATGGCACTTACATTACAACCTGCTACTTGCTCTTTTGCCAAAGCAGCCACGGACTGCGAGAGGTATAGATGGACATTGGTGGATTCTTTATGGTCACGTTTTAAACGACAAGCAAATGTCAGATTCTCCTCCTTTTCCTGCTGCGTGACCTCTTGCTGTAGGTACTTTGACACTGACAGTGCTGGTGGCGGAGCTGTTCTGCTCACCTGAAAGTACCCTCTGAGTAACATGGGACTGGGACCGTCCTGCCTGTCATTAAGTGAAGTGCTGTACACGCTTGTGTTACTGTGCTTTGAGAACCGTGTGTTGCAGGAAATGCAAGGTTTTGTGCAGCGGTTTTTGTGTGATGAATGAGTTAGACTACAACACATATGTGTGCTGGTGGTTAAAACGCTCCCCAAAAGAAAAGCCAGCCTCTTTCCCCTCTGCCCCTGGCACTGGGATTAGCGCAGGTGCACATACAGTTGGCTTTATTCCTCCTGAGGGAGAAGGGGAGGTTTCCTGTGAGTTACAATCCCATTGTGGTTTTATTCTGTTTTCTGTTTATTTTATTTATTTTATTTATTTTATTTCTTGCTGCCCTCAGCACTTCAGTGTTGTGATGAGATAACGCCAGGTATTTCAAAATCTGTCTGGTTCCTGGCAGTAGTTTCTCTCTAACTTGGTACTCAGAGGAACTGAGAACGTGCCAGATGTTTTCCCATTCCCGGTGTCAGGTACCCCAGCTGCTCTTGGCCGTGGTGCAGTCTGGTCTCTTCCACGTTGAGGTGCTCCCGGAGCCGGCTGTTCTGCTGTGCCGTCGTCTGTCCTGGGTGTGCTCCTGTTCCACCTTGTGCTGCCCGGACAGGGCCCGTTCAAAACACTTGCCGCTTGCTCCTGAGTTCCTGTTGCCCCAAGACCCGATGGTGCTGCCTGATGTTCTGCTGCTCCCGCCCCCCATTTTTCTCCTGGCTATTTCCACGTAGCCAGCAGTTACGTCCTAAATCTCCAGCCCTGCAAATCCTCAGCAGAGATTCAGCAGCGATTAGCGGTCATGTTCGGAGTGAGTAATGCCGCACCTCCGCGCTTGCTTCTCAGGCACCTGCCTCATCTCCGTTCAGGGTCAGGATGTACATCTGCACCAGCTGCTCATGTTATGCTCGCTTATCCCTCCTTTTTGCTGTTGGCTTTATTCGCTTTGCTAGTCTAGCTAGCCCATCGTGCAGAGTCAGCTCTGAACTGTCCCCTGTGACCCAAAGAGGACTGAGCAGCGTTGCTGGCATCCTTTCACTTTATCCGATCTGCGTGATTGCTGCAGGCTTTGTGTCCCCCTTCCAGGGGAACTGAACATGTTTCTTGACCATGTGGTCCTTTCTAGACAACACCCTAGGTCTTCAGCAAGCCCTGAAACATCAATGAGTACTAACTGTGTCTCCTCCCTGAGAGCTTCCAGGTTCTCACGGAGTGCTCTCTGTTCGTGCTGGCCTTCCACTGGAGCCCCGTTTGCCGTCTGCGGGGTGGAGCAGGGACTCTGCTTGTCTCACGCGGGTGTCCTCCCTCAACAGGAACAAGGACACGACCAGGGACGAATTCATCTTCTACTCCAAGCGCCTGATGAGGCTGTTGATTGAACATGCCCTCTCCTTCCTGCCACTGAAGGTGAGCGACCACTCCTCGGGTGCGGCCACGGCCACATTTCCCCCTCCTGAGCCCCCGGGCCACACAGGGGCCCGGCTTCGTCCGCACTCCCTTCTCCTTCCCTTTCTGCAGTCGGTCACTGTGGAGACACCCCAGGGGACAACGTACGAAGGAAAGCGGTTCCACAGGCAGAGGGTGAGACATTGTCCTGGCCCCTTTCTCCCTACAAGCACGCGGTCGCCCCGTCTCGGGTCAGCACAGACTGGGAAGACTTGGTGGCGCCTGGGTCTGTCCCTGGGCAGACAAGCTGCTCGGCAGGGCTTGTTCTCCCCTCCCGTGCTGCTGGAGCCTAGCGGACCGTGGCGGCTGCTTCCCCTTCCCCTGCGCTGCACCAGACAGACGTGTTCTCGTCCCTTCCCCAGATCACAGGCGTGTCCATCCTGCGAGCAGGGGAGACCATGGAGCAGGCCCTCACCGCTGTGTGCAAGGACATCCGCCTGGGCAAGATCCTGATCCAGACCAACCATGACACGGGGGAGCCCGAGGTGAGCGGCGCCCACTGCCCGGGCCCAGAGCCCCCCGGTCCCGCGGGATGGG